CGCCTCCCGGGCCACACGCGTGTCCCCACGGTCGTCTGGACTCGGCGGGGCTCGCCCGGCCGAGCGGGCGCCTGGAGAGCCGAACGGGCCGTGCCCCAGCTGACGATGCCGGTGCCACGGAATGCGAGCGGCAGCCCTGGGCCCTCCCTGCGTCCTGGCTGAGGTGGCACCGAGCGGCCTCCAGAAAGGGTGCTCTGGCACCATTCCTCCTCCAGCTGGAAGCCCCCCCAGTCCGGGGCTGCCCGAGGGGCCCGAACCCTTCCCCACCGCCTTGGTCGCTCCCTGGCCTCAGCAGCTGGAGCTCAGTGAGGTGACCCGCCTGGATCGGCAAGGAGCAGGGCGCCGAGGGCCAGCCTGGCTCCCTGGGCCCTACAGCAGCGCCTCCTGGCTGGGTCACCTCTGCCCAGCCTTGCATGCCCCCAGCGGGCGGGCCACCCGCGTTCCAGGGTCTCCTAGCAACCAGGAGAAACTTTCCACGCCCATCAGAATGCCAGCAGCCAGCCGCTGACGCTGGATCTCGGCCTCTGCCCGCCCGCCTGTGGCGCCAAGACCCGCAAATCTCCCTGAGGCGGCCGGGGACCCCCAGGAGCGGGCAGCGGGGCCATGAGCCACAGCCTCTCCTTCGTGGAGCTGATCAACCTGGCCATCGGGACACCGGAGCTGGGCAATGTCAACTTCAACGCCCTGCATTTATTCCTGCACAGCCTCGTGGAGCACCTCCAGCTGCAGGACGTGAGGAAGGAAGTCACGGCCGACGAGCTGGAATTCGTCAAGCCGCCCCCAAGCACGGTGGCCTCCGTGGCCACCTCTTCTGAAACTGTTCCTGTGGCCCACGAGTCCAGCTCCATCTTCCACCAGATGCACGAGAGGATCACGGCCATTGAGAAGCAGCTGAGGTTCCTGAACGATACCCCTGACACCGCTGAACTGCTGGTGCGCACCCAGGGCGTGGGCCAGCCCACCCAGGACATGTGGCAGATGATGCAGCTGAAGAAGAAGATGGAGTTGAACGAGGAAGGGATGACCAAGGTAATCCTTTCCGGTGGTGGTCTCTGCTTTGCTCATGCTCCCCTGCCAAGCCCTGCCTTTGCTAACAGACTGCAGGGCCCCAAACTGCACTGCCTCCACGCTTTGAGCAGGCCCTGAACTCCCAGGACCTGGGAAGCAGAGACCCCACTGAAGTCAGTTCCTTGGCTGGCCATCCTAGCCTTGAGTTCCCCAAGGCCTCTGCTGCCCATTGGGCAAAGGGGTTTGAAAAACAGGGATTTCTTTGCTGGATGAACAGAGCAAAGACTCTGAGCGACCAGAAATGGTGTAGGTGTGTACGTGTATGGGCACATTTGTGTCTGGGAAGGAAGTCTGAGGGGTGCACCTGTCCCCTTTTTCCCTTTTCTGAGACTCATGCACTGCTTCCCCAGCACTCTCCACAACCCCCTCCGCCATCTCCTCTTTTTGCCATTTGAATGAGTTGAGAAAACACCTACAGAGCCATCCCCGTTCCTGTTGGATGGAAGACATCTGGGTTTTTCTCTGGGCAGAAGGTCAGGTTTCCAACCTGAGTTCATAATTCTCCACCTTCCTCCTGGTCAAGCAACTTTAGACCATTCAGGCCTAATTAGGGATCTGGGGGGCAATTGATCTGGCAGTGCAACCACGAAGGGTCCTGAGATCAAAGGAGTGGATATCTGCCCCCTCCACCCCTTCCCTGGAGTGCAGCAAGTGTGTGAAGGACTTCAAGCACCACAGAATCTCCAGCCACCCGTTGGTCCTTTGGCTCAACCCGAAGTGACTCCTTTTGTTTTCCCATTCAGGCCATGAACACGTTGCAGGACCTGCTGAATAACATTTGCTCCCTGAAAACAGCCACGGATGGCTTTCAGCAAGAACTGGGGCAGCTGAAAGAGAACATTGTCCAAGTGAGTGCTCCTGGAGGAAAAGGGGCCTCTAGGGTGTCTCCTGGTGGTCTGGCCTTTCTCTGGACTGGGTCCACGGATGGAGACAGGCCTCTGCAGAAGGCCTAGCTGGAACAGGAAGACTCCTCACATGTCTGCAGGCTCTGATGCTGGTCTTGCTATTAACAGCTCAACGGAGAAGAAATGAAAGAGCGACTCCGGGGTCTGGATGAACAGGCCAGGATGATGGAAGAAATGAAGGAACAGCTGGTGAGAGAATCCCTCGCCAGCCAGCAGGCAGACCCTTGGGCTCTTACCACTACCTGGCTTCCCCCAGCCCCCCAGCCCCTGCCTCTCTCACCTCTCCTTTTGCCCCCTTGCAACACGCCTGTTGAACCTGCTGGCAGAGGGAGCAGGATGAGGCCTTCAAATGGGTAGGCAGGGTGTCAGTGAGCGTAGAAATGGGTGTGAGGTGATGTGGTGGAACTCCAAGGACTCCCCATCCCTGCTTCTTCAAGAGCTTGACTGGGTCTTGAGAGCCCTTGGGGAGGTTATTCTAAGCGTCAGGAATGAAGGAATGGCACTTCTGTAGGGGGCACCTAAAATTTTAATTAAAAAAGTAAG